GGTTTTGTGGAATAAGATTGAGAAGATTTGGGTCGATTTCATATTCTATGGAATTACGCTTGAGAAAAATCCAAATCAAGAAAAGTTTATGGGAGAAAGAAGAAGCAAATCACGATTGGGAAGAAAAGAATAAGCTCTCATATGATTTGAGTGCAAAATGACAGAGCTATCCCTCCTGAGTCCTGATCCATAGTTAATCACAAACTTTGACGTATTTTCAAAATTGTCACCGCCTACATCAGCCTTTTATAGTGTTTTTATGTTTTATTCCTAGCCACTAAGTATTTGAGATGAGTGATCAAGATTTGGTCCCTTTGTCTCACAAAATTCATTTGTCTCACATGAACCTAACCCTATATATATATATATAACTCGATAAGGCTTGCAAACTCACTAATTGAAACTCAACTCGGACTCATTTAAACGAGTCTTATATTTAGGTTCGAGCTCGGCTTGGGTTCGTTTAATTCAATCACAAACCGAGCTTTTAACGAATCGATCATGAATACCTTAGCTCACTTGCACCCATACTCCTCGTGATCTCAAGAAGACCAAATAAATTAAAAAGAAAAAGTGAAAATGTTTGATTTTTCTTTTTATTCAAAAAACTAGAAACTTTATAAAAACCAAAGTGAAACTGGTCTTTTTAAAATCATTAATTTCTAGTATAACATATAACTTAAAGCATCCACAATGATGAGTTTAATGGAAAAATTGAATGAGATGAAAAGTTCATGTGTCATTTAATGAATGAAACTCTATGAGATGTTACAGTGACATTAAATGGATTTGGAGTTCAATGACATTAAATGAATTTGGAATTCAATGACCATTAAATAATTCAATGAAAAAAAATTAATTCTTAAATATTTAGTATAGATTATATTTTATAACATTCTATTGAACTTTGTAGAGTTCAATACATTATAGAGAAAAAATAATAATAAAGTTATATGAATTGTATAAAGATGGATAATGACGCGGTAATCTGTTAAACTCTATAAAGTTCAGTGTATTATGAATATGAATGCCCTTATAAAAAAACAATTTATAACGTAAATGGGTATAAAAAATTTAATGTTTTAATGAGTGTTACAATCGAAGACAAACAAAAACCATTAGTCAAAAGTAAAATGGAAGCACCATTACCAAGACCAATATGACACAATTACATGTTTTCCAAAATTTACATTAAAAAATTAACATCCAACTGTTTGCATGAAAAAGAACAAGCAAAGAAACAAAATAAAATAATACATTCTCCACTTTTCACTTTGGTTACCCTCACCAGATTTACACCATACACCCTTTTACTTTCCAAATATCCAAAACTCACCCAACACTTCCCACCATTCCCATTCCCATTCAATCTTGACCCAATCTATCCAATACCTCAGCAACATGTCTCATCGATGGTCTTCTTTCTGGGTTACTTTGAGTGCACCCCATTGCAATCTTCAAAACCGCTATAATCGCCTCTTCTTTATCAACATCTTGCCCTAACCCTGGATCCAATACATCTGAAACCGGCTTTTTTTCTTCAATACACATCTGAATCCAATGAACAAGATCCATCTCCTCCGCCCCAACCGCCACCACCGGCGGTTTTCCGGTGATCATCTCCAATAACACAACCCCAAAAGAGTAAACATCCCATTTTTGTGAAGGTTTCACCACCTTGAAAGCTTCAGGTGCTTGATACTGAGTCGCCGGAGTATTAGATGTGGCGGCAGTTGGGGTGGTGTTGGAAGCAACTTCTGACACCACCCGGGTGGATTGGACCGCCGGTGTGCTGCCTCCGGCTATGTTGGCGAGGCGGCTGAGGCCAAAATCAGAGATTTGGGCCTCCATGTTTGAATCGAGTAAAATGTTTGATGGTTTTAGGTCACCATGGACATACTTTTTGGGACTAAATTCGTGTAGGTAGACTACACCTTTAGCGGCTCCTCTCATTATCTTCAAACGGGCGGACCATGCAAGCGGCACAAAAGATGGCACACCGGACTTCCCTGAAAACAACAACAGACTGCATCAGAACAAGGTGTACTGTGTTTGACATGCATTACACAATCTTGTACACATGACAAAACAGGTTGTACAGTGTTTAACATGCATTAAACAATCCGTACGCTTGTAGGATATGACAAAACAAGTTGTACACTATGACCGAAATAGATAACAATAGGACAAATTAATACAAAAGCTATAAAATTGGTAAATTACCATGAATTGCAGTGCCAAGATTGCCATTGGGGATATAATCATAGATAAGCAACTTCTCATCAACCGACCAATAGTAAGCCTTCAAAGTTACGATATTCGGATGTTTAATTTTCCCAATTGCTTCAACTTCCGTTTGAAATTCTTTAAATCTTTGAGAACCACCTTCACCCAATCTTCTCACAGCCAAAGTAACCCCATCTTCAAGAACAACTTTATAAACAATCCCAATCCCACTCTTTCCCAAAACAAAAGCCGAAGCCTTTAAAAGCTCATCTAAATCAAACCCTAATTGTGAATCTAATGCGACAAGATCATATTGTTCAACATGCTCGGATAAAGTTTCTGATTCGTCTTTTCTAAAACACAAACACTCGTTTCTTCCCTTACCTTTTTTCTCATTCCCATGTTTCTTTCTACCACAAAAACAGATTCTTGAGTAACAATAGGAGAGGATCAAACCAATGAGACAAATACCGATCACATCACTAACGATTATAGCAATCACACCGCTTTTACTCAAACCTTTGCGACCCTTTTCGGGAGATGAATCGGAAGGATTGTTGGTAGGGAGGTATGGAAATGAAGAAGGTGAACTTGCGTCGTTTGGAGAACAGAGGTTCTTTAATGGCGGACCACATAAGCCAGTGTTTCCGATGAACGCTGTGGGGCCACGGTTGACGAGAGCTCCGTTTTGAGGAATTGGACCAGTCAAGTTATTGTAAGTGAGATCGATGTAAACTTTTTCAGGAAGATTACCGAGGCTAGATGGGATTGAACCATTGAAGAAATTATGAGATAAGTCGACAGTTCCTTGCAAATTAGACAAGTTTCCAAAATCTTTAGGGATCGAACCAGAGAATCGATTGAACGAAAGGTTAAGTTCTTCGAGAAAACCCAAATTGGAACCAAACCCATATGGGAGAGAACCAGTGAAATTGTTTTGGCTCAGATCAAGACTTCTTAACCTCTTACATTGAATCAATGAAATGGGAATCGACCCATTGAAGAAATTACTTGATAAATCTAGGGTTTGGAGGTAACTAAGTCTGCTGATTTCATCTGGGAGAGACCCAGATAAAGAATTGCCGTATAGAACCAAACTTTGAAGCTTTTCGGCTCTGAAAAGCTCGATAGGCAAAGCACCCATGAACTTATTGCTCCTCAAATTAACATGTCTGAGCTCAGAGAGAGATCCAAGAACAGGAGATATGAACCCTAGAAGCTTTTTCTTGGGAATACTAACGGAAATTACTTTTAGTTCTTTGCATGCAATGCCATTCCATGAACAAGGGGTTTCATCGGAATAGTTCCAGTTGTTTAAAGATCCTTCAGGGTCTTGTGTAATCAACTGTTTGAAGGTTAAAAGAGTGTAGCCTTCATCGTTTAAAGAAGCTACATGAACTATGAAATGGGAGTTGCATAGAATCAAGAAGATTGAAAGAAGAAAAGCAGGTGACAACATATCAAGAAAACCCCAAAAGAAATATGACCGTTGGAGATTGGGGAATTTTGAGATTTAATTTGGTAAGAACCCTGACCTTTGAAATGAATCGACAAGAAGAGCAGCAAGTGGAAAGTTGCAGTGAAGAAGAAAAAGCTTGAAAGAACAGTAATGGCGTTTGTAGAAGACTCCAAGAGAGATAAGAGTTTGTGTGTGAAATAGGGTGAGTGAGCATGGACTTGTTGGAGAGGTGGAAAGCATTGAAGAAAGGTAAAGTCAATTTGTTTCAGCCTACAAGACATCGGGAATATAGATTATTAATATAGCTCCATACTTTTCTAGGGGGGAATAATTTTTTTATCGAATATAAAATTTCTTTCTATTTTTATAATTTTTTGTCGAAATTATATAATTGGTCCTTGTCGCATGTTAATAGTTATGTATTTCATACCCGAAACTAAATTTTATTATACCAGAAGGAGTGGAGTGTGATTTTAGCTGATGTGGCATGTGAAACCGCAATGAACATTGCCCTCTATACGGTTTGGGGAGTGCGGTTTGAGGTGTGCGGCCAAAAATGGGAGCGATTCTCTCTCTCTCTCTCTCTCACTCTTCCTCCCTCTCTATCTCACTTATTTCTCTTGCTTCTTTTCATGGAATATCACTCTTTCTGTGTGGTAAGGGAGTGTGGCAAAATGAGGGAGTGTGGCACCACTCCCTCCACCCTTAGGGTCGTCACTATCGTTTTATTTTGTTTCACATGTGATCCCTAAGTTGGTTGACGTTATCTTTTTACCATTAAATGGATGTGAAAGTACTTTTTTACCCTTTATTATATATCATGCTTTTATTTTTAGATTATATATCTTTTATTAGTTAATGGGCCCATACATTAGGGTGTATAGAATTTAATCCGATCCAATGTGAATCGACGGACTGTATCCAATCAGAATTGGATTGTATCGGTTTTGAAATTTCAAAATCCAAATAAATTGGAATGGTTATTAGATTACCCCAAAAATCAAATAGATAATTGAATTGAACCGTACCAATCCAATATTCATCTAATTAGATATCCAATTACCATCTAATATTATTATCCAATTAATATTTGAGAAAATGACAAATATAGCCAATTCTCTTAATGTTTTTGCATGTTTGAACCTTGGTCGAAGTTAAAGATTTGAAGTGTTGTTTGTTAGTCTCATTTAGTGTAACTGTGTGCAATTTTAGTTTTAACTGTCATAATTATATTTGGTTATTGTTTGATAGAAGATGAATTAGTATTGGTTGGATAACATATAACCAATCAAAATATCTAATGGATAAAACCAATCCAATCCAATATCTAGTTGGATCAGATCGGTTCAGTTATATATAACGAATTGGATTGGATTAGCGATGAGAAAAGACTCATAATAGCGATAGTAAGCAATGTTAGCAATGAACGGATACTAATAAGTAATTACATCGAAGAATAAAAAATGGTAATTACAACGATGATTAAAGCGATGAATATTAATGAATATACTTTAGAGATTATTGTTTGTTGTATGTGGTGAAATACTATGTGCGAAGTTGAAAATATATTGTGTGATGATAATTTAAAGGATTGACCTGTTAGGGGATTTATATGTGTTAAGAAAACCAAACGACACTTGTCAATAATCAGAACAGATCTGATGACCTTTGTTAGGAAGTAATGTGGATAATACACGAAATCAAAAGTACACAAAGACACGGTATTTATGTGGTTCGGTAAAAATGGATTTTTATTCAACTAAATTAAACTTGATATATAATCAAACTAAAGCAAACAAATGCAAAGAATTTGATTTAAGCAATCAATTTAAAGTACTTCCACTTAGATCTGAATCCTCTTATTTTCCTGTGGTTGATTTATTAAAGTGCAACTGATTTAACAAGTTAATTACCGATTTTATATAACAACTAATTATCTTGATCCGATGAACTAATACTAATAATTATTAAGCAACTAACACAATGATCATGTGATAGCTAACTAAATAACCAATTAAATATCTGAATTATGAATGAACCGATCTAGTGATTTCTCATCAATGGTCATGTCAATTAATCTAAGCATAGCATGGTTATCTAATACTTTATTACACATTCAAGTTATCCACTTTATAACCTAACCCTAGGATTTGGTCAATATCTAGTCTTAAGAGTTTGTCGTCATAAACAAAATAAGATGCAAGTCAATATAATCCAATTGGTCTTCTAAATTATATTAAACTCAATTATAGGTAATAAAAACTGAAACTTTATTATATAAGGTAAACGATCAATCATACATAATAAATAAAAAACTTTATACATCCTTCTAACAAATCAAACTATATTATATGGGTCATCCACATCTAAGCGGGTGTAAAAGGGTTTGAGCCTGTAATTGTAACCATAAAACAAAAAACAACCATTGAAGTATTTCTAAACATCATATCTAAACAAACTGAATGAATACACAACGTTTCCACGCTTCGATCTTCAAAATAATGCTTCAATAGCGTTCTTCAACCTTGAAATCGACCGAAAAGAGTTATGGACGACTTGTATATTCTTACCAAAGGTTTCCCTTGGTTGCACGCCGAATTAGGGTTGAGAAATCGCATATTGATAGTCTTATCTCATTTTGGATCTGATGGGGAACGACGCGCTTCTTCGTTATTTCTAGTCTTTTTCATTTTTCAGTCCTTATCAGTTGCAGATCAATTTCAGCTTCTTCCTTTTGCTCCAAGCCACAAATGTGATTATAATTATCTAATTCAAATCATTTTTAAGTATATATTTTTAGTTATATCATTTAAACTCTAAATATTAAGATAATTACCCCAAAATATATGACTAAATAGGGAAATATCACACCCCTGAACTATTGTGGTAGCCACTGGTGCATTTATGTCCACATAACATACGTTTGAATAAAATTTCAATCAACTGAAGCCAATTTCGGTTGGAATTTGCACACTTGTGTGCGTAAGAGAGAGTCTTGTTGTTATAAGTCTTATAATATTTAGAAACCTTCATACTTATAAACTTATTTCCCTTTCAGTCTACCACTTATGTAGGATGACTTAAAAGCCATGTGATATATTATCCGACTCTTTTAAGGAGGTACTTCACTTTGATGATTAATTTATCATTCACTTGAATCTAGTTTGAACGTTTTAACATACAAAAATGAAGGCATCACTCAGAATATCATAACTATATAACATATTATCCATTTTAATAATGTCTATTGTTAAAAATTTGTGTTAAAAAAAGGGGACACAATATTTTAGAAAAATGGGTAAACCAACTTTGTAACACTCGATAATTTCCAAGGTATTTATAATATTTCGGGTTAATTAATTGTTATGATTTGGGCCTTGAACCATTGGATCCTTTCTTATTGGGCTTAGGGGTGCAGTACGCGGGGCGTACCACACTATGTACGTTGGGCGTACTAATGAGGAATGAATGCGGGTGCCATGCATGTACGCGCTACGTACAAAGGAGTACGTGCAGCGTACATGGCCAGTCCCCAAGACCCTAATATTTAGGGTTTTAACACTATTTAAAGAACATTATGACCTAAGGATCTTCTTTACCAGCCTCCCTCTTGTCCCTAAACAGACTCAACGAAACCCTAACCCCATTGTTGAGTGTTCTTGAGCTTGGAAGGTCTTTTGAGTGCATTTTGGTGTGTTTTATCTCGTTTTCAAGGAAGAGAAGGTTGGAGCAAGGTGGTGGTTCAAGGAGAAGCTTGTAGATCCGGATTTTCTGCTCCATTTCTAGCTTGTGCAAGGTGTAAAGCCGTGATATTGATCTTTAGAAGCTTAGATCTCCATGTTTTAGCTTTTGGACCCTTTTTGGTCCCATAGATGAGCTCTTGTGGATTACTTTCGTTTCTGAAGCTTAGAGTTGCTACTCTTGGTGTTCTTTGGGTCCTAGAGTCATAAAGTTGCAACCTTTGAAGCTTTAATCCTGCCCTGCATGAGTAATGGCCACTTTCATGGAAGTAGATTGTCATATTTCTAGTTTGGGCCCATTTGGGGCATGCAAAGCCGCCAAGTTGTGGACTTTATGGGTTAATATATTGTATATAATTTAGATCTGTTTTTGGGTCTCCTGGACTGAAGTGGTTAAGGACTTATTGGAGAAAAGGCTTAATGGGTGAGTAGGTTGGGCGTACAAGCTCGTACACCCAACGTACAAGCCATGCAGCGTGTATGCTTAGCGTACAGCCGGGTACGCCCCGCATACTCAGGCAGTTGGGCTTGGCATTGTTTGGGCCTCGACTTGGGCCATTTTCTTGGATCTTGTTGTTTTGGGCCTTTTAGGCCATCTGGAATTAAGTTTTTGGATTAAGGAATTTTAGTGGGCCTTAGGGCAAGGCCCATTTGCAGGTTTGGGCCCAATTTGGAAAATCGGGCCATAAGTGGGCCTTTGTGGATCTTTTGGTTTTGGACCTTAGTGGTTTGTGGTTTTGGGCCTTAGTTGTGGATCAAGCTAGGCCAGGGGTAAAATGGTCATTTTACCCCAAGTATGGATTTTTGGTTATAGTTTGGAACCTAAGTATTGATTGGGTGTTATTTTGTACTGATAGCTCGGGGAGTCGTCAGTGCAGCAGCTAAGGATTTTTTTCTGTGAGATTCAGCATTTGAGGTGAGTTTCCTCACTGGGTTTAGTGGGTCCAAGGCACTAATGCCGACCCTTCTTGGTTATGCTAGGTTGTTAGGAGTCTGGATGACCCTTGCATGTGTTATGTGTTGCTATGTATATCGGGCGGGGCTCGATGACTGGAACATATGCTAGTGTTTATGATCATTATATGTGTTAGCATGTTTAGGTGATATTTTGTATGTGTATAGTGGGCTAGGCCCAATGACAGGCGAGGCCTGAGAATAACATATATGTAAACCGAGCGGGGATCGATGTCGGGCGGCGTCCCAGCATGTGGTTTATTATGTATGGTATGGGGTAGTTTGGGGAACTCACTAAGCTTTGTG